AGTGGCCGGGGTGCAGCCGGGGATCGAACCGGCGCCGCAGAGGCCACGGGCAGCTTCAAAACCAGCGCTCAATCGCTGCGCCACCGGGGAGGCCAAGAAAAATCTCATAGTTTTGAGGACAAAAATACAAATTATTACAGACATAAAATGAAATTGTAATTAGTGAGCATAACCAATGGAAATTCAACATAAAAACTGCTGTTGTGCATGCACAGAAGAAAACAAAAAGCAAAGAGAAAACACTAGATAGATGACTGATTGATGATAGAGGGATGGATGTATAGATCAATCAATCGATCGATTGTGTGTCAATTTATAAACAAAGACAAGAGATATAGATGAATGTGGTAAAGTTTCTAAACAAAAGGTTTAGAAAGAATCTTCTAAAATTCTAGAGATCTTTCAGAAAAAATTGATCCCGTGTAAAGAAACACAAAAAGTCACACCTTCTTGTTAATATTAGATGCAGGACTCCCTCGTGGCGCAAGGGCATAAGACACAACATATGAAGCTATCCGCTGTCATGCATCACAAGTTCGATCTCTGTCCAGGGAGCTTCCCATATGGTTTAGCAGAAGTCTCCTGTCTCTCTGCTGCTCCCCTCAGCAATGTATTTCATCAGTCTGCCTGTTCTGTTCCCCACTCTGTCTCTGGTGAATCCTCTCACCCCTTGAGCTTCTGGCCTGTACCCCAGATTATGGATATGTTTCATTTTGTGGCTTCATAGGAATTCTTTGTGAAAGTTGAATTTGACCTGAAGCAAGAAAAAAGAACCTGCTGCTTTGTTTGTGGGGTTCCAGAGACATCCAAAGAGGGTGAGGAAGCTTGCCTCCATTGGCAGGACTTGACAACTGTGGAAAAAAAAAAAAGTTCTGGTAACCTGGAGAATAGGAAACTCCAGGTGGAAACCAACTTTGTTTCTAAAGCCTACACGGACTAGATGTCAAGAGTTCACTCTGATCTTATATGGAGTTTTCCAGTAAAGTTAGCTAGAATTGCTGTTTGGTTACTCTGCCTTGTGATTTTATGCAAAAAATAAGTAAATTGGTCTGAGAGTAGATTCAGTTTGCAAATATTTTGCTGTACTATTGTATAAAATTGGGTCAGGTGGAGAAAACTTGATTTTAGAAAAGTTAAACCGGACCTCCCTGGTGGTGCAGGGTGTTAAACAGCATTATCGAACTATTGCCAGCCACTGAAGCATGAGTTCGATCCCCGGCTGGCCAGGGAGCTACCCACATGACATAGCAGACCTCTTCTGCCTTGCCTGCTGCTCCCCTCAGCAGTGTATTTCAGTAGATCTTCCTGTTCTGCTCCCCACTCTCTCTGGTGAATCTTCTCACCCCCACCCCCATGGACTGAGTAATTTCCAGGAATGAAGGACTATCATACTAGACACACACAGACAATACTGACGGCTGATTGTTATTCTCTAGCATACACTAAAATCCTGAGATCAGGGTTTAAAATATAAAAAATAGTGGGTGTCTAGAAGAAAACGTGTGCCTATCGGTACTTATATACAACATTTTATTTACTTTTAAATTCTTGAAGTGCAACTGCTTTGGTCTAACAACTGTTGAGCAACATCTCATTCCTACTTCCTCAGGGCAGTAGAGCAGCATTTTATGGCAGCAACACCAAGCCCTAGGACCCTGGTCATAGATTACTGTCCATCGCAAGGGCCAACTTGGCTGGGACCTTAAAACACTGAACATGGCCCCCCTGGAGGCGCAAGGGCTTAAGGCACAACTATGTAGCTGTCTGCAGCCACCGGAGCAGGAGTTGGATCCCCCGGTCGGCCAGGGAGCTTCCTACAGAGGTCAGCAGACCTCTCCTGACTCACCCACTGTTCCCCTCAGTGGTGTACTCCGGTCAATCTGCATGTTCTGTTCCCCACTCTGTCTCTGGTGAATCCTCTCTCACTCTCTCACACACACACCACACACTCTGGCCTGTATTCCAGCTCTTGTATGCATAAATAAATAAATATAAAAAAAAAACACTGAACATGGGGGAGAGGGTATGTTACTGTTTCATTACCTACAGGGCCACTTTGGATTCCAGCAGAAAAGGACCCATCTTATTCCAGAGCTCCAGCCATTAGCCATCTAGCTGCCACCTGGGATGCCACCTATGTAGGCCGACAGGAGGAACGAGGACCCTTCCCACTGACTGTGCTGTTCTCCGGAACCTCAGATCAAGACTTTATGCCCTTCAGGCTGCTGTACGCTGACATGATGGACATCAACAAGCCCCTAGACACCACCAACTCTGTTGTGTTTTGTTGTGACACTGTTCTACTAAACTCCTATTCTGATGTCATGGACCTTAGAGACAAACTATAAGGACAACAGATGGTAAAATTGTCAAGAGATCAGCTAAACACTGTACAGACCCAACTGTCTTAGCCCTGTGACTGGACCTGTACATCCATCTGTGTAACTCCATTTGTATATAATCAGACTCAGGCTACATGGAAACACATTAAGCTACAATTTCAAGGAAATGTAAATATGTCTGAGCAAATGCAACACTTGCAACAAAATACACAGGGACATTTGTTAAATGTTTATCAGCAGTAGGAGGGAATATGTTGTAAATTTAATGATGGGGGTTAGCCAATTTAAATAAACTGAACTATGTAAAAGCTTTGGGAATTATCTTCATGTTAATTGCACTAATCCTTATTTTTGCATATCTGTTACTTTAAATCCTCTTCTACAAAAGTAAAGGAAGAAGCATGTGGGAGTGAAAACAACTGAATGTCGCTGCCATAGTCATTGTCAAGGCTACACTAAAAAACAAAACAAAAAAAAGGACCCTCCCTGCTGGTGCAAGGGGTTGAGACGCAACCTATGAAGCTGTCCAAAGCCAGTGAACATGAGTTGGATCTCCACCCAGGGGTTACCCACATGGCACAGCAGACCTCTCCAGACACCCCGCTGCTGCCCTCAGCAGTCTATTTCCATTAGTCCACCTGTTCTTTTCTCCACTCTGGTGAATTCTCTCATTCCCCCACACTCTGGCCTGTACCCCAGTTCTTGTATGCATAAAAAAATAAATCTTTTTTTTTTAAAAAGGGGGGGATGTGGTGACACCTATGGCTTAAAGTGCTGAGGCAAGGAAACGATCATGGTCATGGCTGAAAGACTGGGCATGGCTAAAAGATGGATCAGCGTGGGTCAGAAGATTGGCCCTCCTACAGATCAGGATGTTGTGTCAGCGAAACCAGGCCTGTGAGAGAAACTAGATTAGAAGAGAGAACAGAATAATCTGATAACGCAGAACCTTGGCTGTGCATGTGTGCCAGAATAATGCTGAATACTAAGGAACAAAAGAATAATCCACTGTTTTGTAACTAACCTAGGAGGTGGTCTGTCTCCATAAATCTGAGTTGTTCTGGGTGCTCCGGACGACTGAGCCAGAATGAGAAGCCTTGCGTCCCCTGTGTATGTTTTCTTCTCCCTGTTGTTTGCTTTCTATTTAGTTCTATGCATTGAGACGTTGTGCCACTGGTGTTGGCGAGCATCTCTTTGGAGTGCTCCGCTAGGGTGTCGGAAACAGTTCACCAGACTGAGACTAGCACTGGTAGGCCAAATCTCCACCAGATTGTTGATGCTGCATTGCTGGGCACTGTCCCTTACAGTTCCCTCCCTCTGTATTTACTTAGTTCCAACAGACCAATGAAGTACACTGCTGAGGGAAGCAGCAGGCGCAGGGGAGGTCTGTGCGTCATGTGGGACCCTCGCCGGACGACGGGTATCGAACTGGTGTTACAGAGGCTGAAGGTAGCTTCGGGGACTTAATTCTGAGAGACTTAAATGCGAGGAATGTGCTCCTGGATGCCAAGAAGCTTTTCTCAGCCGAGATTAGCAGGAAGGACTAACAGTACTTTTTCTCAAGTCATGAACAGAACATTCAGATGACACAGATTACCCCATGATACCCCGGTAGCAGCCCCAGTTGACCTCCCCCAGGTACCCCACAACCTTCTCCCTGAACTCTTATACAGGCACCAGCCCAGCGTTATGTCATGGCCCTGTTCCCGCAGTCATATCCTCCGCTGAGTAGGAGCAAATGGGGTTTCCTCTCCCCGGAGGGCACCCGCCCGACGGAGTGTGCAGGGCACCCCTCCCTGCAGGCAGGAGCCTCCAGGGCAACGGGAGAGCCAGGCCCAGCCCCAGGTAGGGAGCTGGGGACAACCTCTGGTCAACAGGGGGAATTGTAGGCCTGGAAGGAGGCCTCTCTCAGCCGCGGGGACAACCTCAGGAGAGAGACTCGACACAGCAGTGGAAATCTATTCCCCAGACTGCAGGTATTTAGCTCTTAAACAGTTTTCAAGGAGAATCCTTCAGATTGAAGATTTAAGATTTCAAGCTTCATTTCACATCTCAGAAAGCACCATAGTTAAAATATTCATTCAGAAAAGAACTACACATTCTCAGGTTCCCAAATAGTTCCGTTTCACACACAAAATTTTTTATGGGATA